TTTTTGGCTGCCAGACATGTGGAGCCCTAGCTCCCTGACCAGGGATTGAACCTGCATCGCTCGGCACTGGAAGCTGAAGCTCCAGCCCTGGACCACCAGGCAAGTCCCTTGAGCTTTTCAGAAGACAAAAGACAGAGTGTCTAGAACATGGCGCATGGTGGAGATGTTCACACTGTCCTCTGTCTCCTATAATATTTTGAGGATTTCCCCTTCAGTGAGATCTGGGTCTCATCTTTAGTCTGTATCCACCACCACCCAGTACACAGTTTTTGCCTGAGTTCATCCTGAGCCTTTTTTTTTTTCATTTCAGTTCTCAGCTCTTCATTTCATTTTCAAAATTATCCAGCAAAGAGGAAAATTACTTGGTCTTTGAGGACTGTTTCTGGATGTGCAGGCAGCTTTCCAACAAAGGAGACCACAGTCTCATGTTTCCGTTTTCCAATCACTGTGTTTACTGAGAGGGTGTTAAGATATTTTTATTGCAGGCTTGGTGTGAAAATAAAGTGAGCAGGATAAAACTTACTGGCAATGGGATGTGACTCATGCCTCATACTCCCAGAAGTTATGAGGTTTTAGTTAATAGCAAAAGCACAATTTCCTACTGATAAACCCATTTTCAACAAAATTCTAAAGTCCAGGAATCCAGACTTTTTTTTTTTTTCACCATTTTTCCCCCCGTTAATGTCCTCTCTCTGTTCTAGGTTTCAATCCAAGTACCACCTTGCCTTCAGTTGTTACATCTCCTCTGTCCTCTCTGGTCTGTGACAATTTCTTAGTTTTTCTTTGTTTTTCCTGACCCCTGAAAGCCTTGGGGAGTACAGGATTGTGTCCTGAAGGATGGCCTCCAGTCTGAGCCTTTCTGATGATTTTATGATTTGACTGAGCTCGTAGACTGGGAGGAAGAAGAGCAGAATGTGCGTGTCCTGCTTGGCACATCAGACGAGGTTGTGCACGACACCCAGAGACATCTCTGGTGATGCTGACCTTTATCCCTTGGGAAAGGTGGCATTTGCCAGCTTTCTCCACCGCAGTTGCTAGTCTTGCCTTTCCCCGCTCCACACTCTGCTCCCAGCGAACAGTCACCAAGTCTGGTCCACTCTGAGGAGGGAGGAGCACACATCTGTTGCTTGGAGGTAGAAATATCTGCAGATACAAACACAGTACTTCTATAAGGAAATTTTATAAGCTCATTTAAAAAATCTACCTGTTTTGGGATAGTTTTGCTTTATAAATCAACACCCATGAAATATAATACAATCTACACCTAATGTGGTCTTTTGTGTATCGATTCATTTGTATTATTTTTTTATTTTTCAAATTTATTTTTAATTGAAAGATAATTGCTTTACAATGTTGTGCTGTTTTTTGCTGTATAACGTCAATCAGATGTAAGTATACACTTATCCCCTTTGGCCCTTGTGATTTAAAATATGTATATAACAGAATACCCTTGAGATGCATTTCTAATGCTCATCTGTAAAACAGAAAGACCAGCCTCAAATACTATCTTTCTGTTTTCTTTTGAAAAAAAAAATATCCCCATATTAAAATGTTAGAAGACACACAATCCTGCAGGGATTTAGACAAAAGAACAAAAATAGATTGCTGGCAAGTCTGGAAAACATTTCTGCTGATATTCACAGAGCATTTTCCTAGTACACGTGGTTTACTTATGTTGAGTAATTTTTTCAATGCTGTTTGCAGATCCGCTATGGCAGTTTGCACCTCCTGCCACTTTGGTTCAAAAGGATGGGCAGTTATTTCAATGACAATCTTCAGAATTGTAGCACAATTACAACTTGCACTGTAACATTTAACTTCTACAAAGGTATAACTGGTCTAAATCATTTGAAAACATTAAGTTCAGTTCAGTCACTCAGTGGTGTCTGAATCTTTGCGACCCCATGAACTGCAGCACGTCAGGCCTCCCTGTCCATCACCAGCTTCCAGAGTTTACTCAAACTCATGTCCATTGAGTCAGCAATGCCATCTGACCATCTCATCCTCTGTTGTGCCCTTCTCTTCCCACCTTCAATCTTTCCCAGCATCAGGGTCTTTTCAAATGAGCATCAGGTGGCCAAAGTATTGGAGTTTCAGCCTCAACATCAGTCCTTCTAATGAATTTTCAAGACTGATCTCCTTTAGATTGGACTGGTTGGATCTCCTTGCAATCCAAGGGACTCTCAAGAGTCTTCTCAACACCACAGTTCAAAAGCATCAGTTCTTCAGTGCTCAGCTTTCTTTATAGTCCAACTCTCACATCCATACATGACTACTGGAAAAACCATAGCTTTGACTAGACGGACCTTTGTTGGCAAAGTAATGTCTCTGCTTTTTAATATGCTGTCTAGGTTGGTCATAACTTTTCTTCCCAGGAGCAAGCATCTTTTAATTTCATGGCTGTAGTCACCATCTGCAGTAATTTTGGAGACCCCCCAAAATGAAGTCTGTCACTGTTTCCACTGTTTCCCCATCTATTTCCCATGAAGTGATGGGACTGGATGCCATGATCTTAGTTTTCTGAATGTTGAGCTTTAAGCCAACTTTTTTGCTCTCTTCTTTCACTTTCATCAAGAGGCTCTTTAGTTTTTCTTAGCTTTCTGGCATAAGGGTGGTGTCATCTGCATATCTGGGGTTACTCATATTTCTCCCAGCAATCTTGATTCCAGCTTGTGCTTCATCCAGTTTGGCATTTCTCATGATGAACTCTGCATAGAAGTTAAATAAGCAGGGTGACAATATACAGCCTTGATATACTTCTTTCCTGATTTGGAACCAGTCTGTTGTTCCATGTCCAGTTCTAACTGTTGCTTCTTGATGTGCATACAGATTTCTCAGGGGACAGGTCAGGTGGTCTGGTATTCCCATGTCTTTAAGAATTTTCCACAGTTTGTTGTGATCCACACGGTCAAAGGCTTTGGCATAGTAGATATTTTTCTGGAGCTCTCTTGCTTTTTTTGATGATCCAGTGGATGTTGGCAATTTGATCTCTGGTTCCTCTGCCCCTTTTCTAAATCCAGCTTGAACACCTGGAAGTTCAAGTTTCATGTACTGTTGAAGCCTGGATTGAAGAATTTTGAGCATCACTTTGCTATCATGTGAGATGAGTGCAATTATGCAGTAGTTTGAGCATTCTTTGGTATTGCCTTTCTTAGGGATTGGAATGAAAACTGACCTTTTCCAGTCTTGTGGCCACTGCTGAGTTCCAAATTTGCTGGCAGATTGAGTGCAGCACTTTCACAGCATCAACTTTTAGTGTTTGAATTAGCTCAACTGGAATTCCATCACCTCCACTAGCTTCGTTCATAGTGATGCTCCGTAAGGCCCACTTGACTTCACATTCCAGGATGTCTGGCTGAGTGATCTCAGCATCGTGATTATCTGGATCATGAAGACCTTTTTTGTACAGTTCTGTGTATTCTTGCCACCTCTTCTTAAGGTCTTCTGCTTCTGTTAGGGCGATACCTTTTCTGTCCATTAGTCAATTAGAAAAGAAAAACTTACTATTACTTACAGTGTGATAGGCCTGGAGATACACTGAAAAATGTACCTATCCTCATGAATGGATGCCGGTAGCTTCTTGCTTCAAAAATATTTCTTTGGAAATGGCAGGTTGAAAAGGTATATGACTTTTCAATGTAGTTACTGACTTTTCCCTCTTTGCTAAGGGAAATCACAATGACAAAAGCTCTGTAGCTGAATTTAATTTGGTGCTTAATTTTAAGAAATCAGAGACCCAGATGTATCTCTGGGAGCTTCCGTGGGAACCAAATCACATCCTGTGAGAGAGCAGGCTCACTTTGGCCGGGGCCCAGGGGTCGTGTGGGTGAGTGTCCTCAAGGCTGATGAGGCACCTGCAATCAGGGAGGAGGGTGACAGATAACTGAGGACGTGAGCCTGCGTGAGAGAGAGGGGAGAATCTAACGTAGTTCCACTGTTCTAGAAATGTGGAAAGCGCGTTTAGAAACACTCATAAAACAAAGAGCACAAAATTTAATTTTCAATTGACCAAGTGCGTTTCATTAAAATTAAACCTTTTGCTTTTTGAAAGACAGTAAGAAGGAAAACCAAAAGTTAGCCTTAAATTGGCAGAAAATACTTGTGAATCATGTAACTGACAAAGAACTTCCACCTAGAATGTATAAAAAATGCCTTACAACACAGTAACAAGCAGACAAATAAGTCAAAAAAGAATAAGCAAAAGATTGGAATAGGTGCTTTGCAAGCTAAGATATATGATCAACAAGCAAAAGGGAAGTTGCTCAGTATGAAGAGTCAACAGAGAAACGAAAATAAAAATCACATGTATTAGATTAGTGAAAATAATAATAGTAATATGACTATGTTAATTGTTGGAGAAATTTTGAGCAGCTGGAGGTTATAAACTCTGTCAGTGAGAATGTAAGATGTTGCATTGACTTTGGCAAAAAGTTTAATTTTTTAAAAAATTAAACATATATTTATCATAAGACCCAGAAATCCCACCTAAAGAGTTTTCCTGAAAGAAGAACTATGCTACACCAAAGCTTATACATGGGATATTATTGTAACTATATTTACAATCACCAAAACTATAAACAACCCAAATGTTCATCAACAGATGGAAGGAGAAAAGTTACAGTGCATCCATACAACACTGGAGTGGGTTGCCATTTCCGTTTCCTCGGGATCTTCCCAACCCAGGGGTCAAACCTGCGTCTTCTGCTTGGCAGGTGAGTTTCCTGCTTGGCAAGTGGATTCCTTACCGCTGAGCAACCATAATCTTGTGGATATTATTGGGATGTAAAATATTTCTCGAGGAGAGAGATGACATCCTGTATAATAGAGAAGAGTCAAAGAAAGATCTGAAACACCTGTGGTATGAAAATAGTAATGATTTGTTCCCCAAACGAACCAACTTTTCTACCAGTTGTAGGTACTATAGTTTAAAATATTCTGAACTCACAGTGATATTTAGCATTCACAGTTTTGGCGGTCAGTTTCAATTGCTCCCGAGACAGCTCCAAGGTGCAGGGTGCGGGTGGCCGTTGGTGTTTTGCGAAGACGGAGGCTTGAGTGGCACCGTCAGCGGGCCAGCACGTGGAGCCCAGGGGCCATCCGCCTGCAGCCGCTGGTGCTTCTCACGGCTTTGTCCTCTGGAATCCTCACCGGCAGTGTGTACAGGGTGCTAACAAAGCGTCTGTAACAGGTAACCCAGCTCAGAAAGGGGAAAAGGTGGTTAACTTGCGGTGTGAGTGTGCATAAGAAACAGGCCAGTCAGTCTCAGCAAAAGTATGTGTTCCATATTTACTGATTCAACAGGGACCTCCTGGTGGTTCAGGGTTAAGATTCTGTGCTTCCACTGCTGGGGGCACAGGTTCAACCCCTGGTCTGGGAACTAGGGTCCTGCATGCCGCATGGGCCACCTTCCTCCCCCCAAAAAGAAATTAAATAGTCATTAAACTTGGACCAAGTGTCTGGCACTGAAACTACATGCCCAGCTTTTTCCTCCTGGGCTCATAGTCCGCCAGGGGAGACAGACCCTGATCCAGGAGCCATCAACGCCCACGGTGGACATCATGATCAGGTCAGAGAGAGCCGTGAAGGGAGCTGTGGGTGTGTGACTTGGGAGGTCAAAGCGGGCTTGCCTGAGAGCCGGAGGTCTGAGCTGAGATTAGACAAATGCAGCAGAACCTGAAGGAAGGTGCAGGCGAGGGCACAGTGGACTGGGTGGGGCTGGGAGCTCCTCCTTCGGGGGCTCCAGGCAGAGGGCACAGCAGGGCTGAGCTCAGGGTGCTTGGGGGGAGGGGGAGACACAGGAAGATAATCATCTCCGTATGCTCCAATTTACCGGGAGTTCAAGACCCACCATTCATAAAGGTCCAAGCCAGTCCTTCCTACCTAAAGAAACAACGGGCCAGCTTGCCCGAGTCCTAGGCTACGTTTACCTTTCAGCACTCGTAGACGGCTTTCCCACGGGTTTTTGTGTTCTGGTTGAGGGTATTTAGCTTGTGCTGTGTATGCTGTGTTAAACCACTTCAGCCGTGTCCTACTCGGCATGACCCTGTGGACTGTGGCCTGCCAAGCACCTCTGTCCATGGGATTCTCCAGGCAGGAATACTGGAGTGGGTTGCCATGCCCTCCTCCAGGAGACCTTCCTGACTCAAGGATCGAACCTACATCTCTTTCATCTCCTGCATTGAAAGGTGGGTTCTTTACCACTAGTGCCAGCTAGGAAGCCCAGTATTTAGCTATGAGCACAAAACTTAGAAACTTGGGTAATATACAGTTGTTGTTTTTTAAATTTTTCATTGTAGTTGATTTTATCAGGTAACTTTATCAGGCAGATTTAAAGTCCCTGAAAGGAAGATCAAAACATTTTGGGCAAAGATGATAATTAAGCCATTCATAAATCTGATCACAATTAACATTGAAACCACTTTTGAGGTCTAGTCCCCCCTAAAGACATAATAAAATGAGCCAACACAGTTGATAAAGGATGTTATCACTGGGGGGAAAAAACAAAACAAAAGATGATTTCTGTCTTAAGTCCTCATAATAAAACTAAATAAACATAATAAAATCTTTTCTTATTCTAATGGATCATTATTCCAAAACATGCCTTCAGTTTAAGGAGTTTTTTATTTTACAGAAGGAAAAAATACAACAGAATCACATTAAATACAGCACATTGATTGTCAAATGTAACTTACTTTTGAAAATATTTTGAAACTTAAATATTGCCATGTACACACTGCTATATTTAAAATGGATAACCAACAGGGACCTGGGCTTCCTAGGTGGTGCTGGTGGTAAACCTTCCAGCCATGGCAGGAGACCCAAGAGATGCGGGTTTGATCGCTGGGTCAGGAAGGGGCCCTGGAGTAGGAAACAGCAACCTGCCGCAGTATTCTTGCCTGGAAAATTCCATGGACACAGAAGCCTATGGGGCTGCAGAGAGTTGGACATGACGGAGTGACTGAACCCAGGACACAACGCGGACCTACGGCATGGCCAAAGCAGCAGCAGCTGACAGAGACGGGCGGCCAGCAAGGGTCTCCCGGACTCTGCGCGGTGTTGCGTGACCGCCCGCATGGAAGACATGGCCTGAGGAACGTGTATCTGGATAGCTGAATTACTTCGCTGTACACCGGACCCTATCGTGACATTGGTAACTGACTGTGCTCCTATAAGAAAGTTTTTAAAAACCTAAGCATTGAAGAAAAATATTTTAAGAAAATAATCAAGACTAAATCATTTGTGGGGCTAATTATGTGCTCAGTGTTTTCCTGGGCTCCCACTGCCTCCCCTGGAAAACCCAGGTGACTGAAGGCCACTTCTGTGCTTGGACAAATGAGCAAGTCTGATGCAGCTGAGGGGCTGAGTCAAAGCCAGAGAGGCTTGCTCACATAAATTAAGTCTCCTTTACCAGCTCACACAGAAAGTCAGCAGGAGGAGAATCAATGCAGATTCCTTTTGTCTCGATGCAGACTTTTGCAACACATCTGCTTTCTAACAAGTCTTTGCAACAGCAAGCAGTTTCGAAAGAGATGAAAAAGAAAATTGTCAACTAGCTGTCCCGTGTACCCCAGCAAACCTCAGTTCAAATCAAAGTTCTGAGTGTTGTGGTTTTGTCTGCCAAATTAAATGCCTTTGTGAAATGTTAATCACAGCCATTCATCTCATAAAACCCCACCTGCTACAAAGTTTTACGTCCCTTAGTAAGAACTCTGCGATAGGGAGTAAATGAGGATAACTCACTTGCACAGTCTCCCTGTGTTTTTAAGCATCAGTAGTTTTATGTAATTTAGGTAGAGGGAAAAATAAAAGCAACTAGTTGTAATGATAAACGTTATGGTAGATATGTATAGGGATATCTTGTAGCTCAGTCGGTAAAGAATCCGCCTGCAGTGCAGGAGACCCAGGTTTGATTCCTGGATTGGGAAGATCTCTTGAAGAAGGAAAGAGCAATCCCCTCCAGTACTCTTGCCTAGGAAATCCCATGGACGCAGGAGCCTGAGGGTTTAAAATTCATGGGGTCACAAGGAAGCCACCTCGATGGAGAGACTAAACCACCGTGTGTAGGGAGAGACAGAGAGAAAAAAAAAGTAGTAAAAAAGTGAGATGAGATGAAGGGAAATATTTCATTAGTGTTTATTTGTTTTGTTTTTAAATACAGTCTCCAGTAGAAAGCCTTATCTTAAGGCTGGGGAAAGATTTGTGCACTCATTTAGAATATGCAAAGGATAAAACTCAAATAATGACTGCATTTAAACATATTCAGAACCTACAAAACAGGCATGATGAGTCGTACTTCGCCTATGGTGAAGTTCAAATGAAGCAGGGCAGGAAAAATGTTTTTTCCACTGTAAAGGGCCATCCAGAAGTAAGGGATTATTTTCACGATGGTTGTCAGTTTTTACCCCAGGGCCAGGGCAAGGTCGGCCTGCACTCCCCTGGAATGCTGTGTGTCCCTGAGAGCACGTGTGCTTACAGCAGGTTCGGCCTGCACTCCCCTGGAATGCTGTGTGTCCCTGAGAGCACGTGTGCTTACAGCAGGTTCGGCCTGCATTCCCCTGGAATGCTGTGTGTCCCTGAGAGCACGTGTGCTTACAGCAGGTTCGGCCTGCACTCCCCTGGAATGCTGTGTGTCCCTGAGAGCACGTGTGCTTACAGCAGGTTCGGCCTGCATTCCCCTGGAATGCTGTGTGTCCCTGAGAGCACGTGTGCTTACAGCAGGTTCGGCCTGCACTCCCCTGGAATGCTGTGTGTCCCTGAGAGCACGTGTGCTTACAGCAGGTTCGGCCTACACTCCCCTGGAATGCTGTGTATCTCTGAGTGGTTGTATCCTTACAGCAGGTTCGGCCTGCACTCCCCTGGAATACTGAGTGTCCCTGAGAGCACGTGTTCTTACAGCACGGAAAAGAGCCAGTGGCATGATGTGATGATCTCCATCACTCAGCTGTTGCTGTTTCGTGTCTCTAAGTCCCCTTTCTAGAGATACTCTAAGTTCCCAGTTGTGATCCTAGTTGTCAGAGAGGAGAGGAATGACTCCTATACCTGGATCCATAGGGCCTTTGGATGTTTGATTGCCCTTTGCCCTAGTGGTTCACATAGTTAATACAGGAGATGCCAATGTAATATTCCAACACCGAGTCATGGAATTCTCATCAGACCATGAGTGCCTGACTTGCTTTCCTCTGTAACCCAGACCAAATTTACTAGACACCCCCTAAATATTGGGGCAATGAATGAGCACAAGCATATCTGCAAAATCTTATGTGATCCCAGCCTTTCATCAAAGGCAGCATTTAAAAGGAGACAGCTAGTCTTTTGAATAAGGCAATGGGTTAATGGATTCAAATTCTGACACAGAATGTGTGTGGCGTGGGAAAGGTGTGGTGTCTCACTCTGTCTCCCTCTCCCTCTCCCTCTCCGCATTAGCCACCTTGCTCAGTTGGCAGTATATTATTGTCGATGGTCCTCAGAGGGCTTTTCTTTCATTAGTTAACTATCCGTTCGTTCCTTCATCATTTCACCTCTGTGGTTCCCTCCCACTCAACTGACTGCTCAGCTTCTGGGCAGCCATTCAGTGGTGTTTAATTTGAATCTTTTTGTTTACATGTGTCCTTTCAAAACTAGTATTGTTGAGCATGCCTGCATTTTTACTTGATATTCATAGATGTGAGCTAGCCCTCTATCAAATATAGGTGGTTAATACCTAATAAGACAAGGTGATCAATATTGTTCTTTTTTCTGACTTAACCTTTGCTTCTTCTACACTAGGGATTTGCACTCCATTTATGTTGCTTTCTTACATTCTCATTTTACATTTTATCTCCACCGGTGATGGACACACAGATCAATCCTTAACCTCCTGCAGTAGGGATTATTATACACGGCCCCTCTGGACCCACGTGGGAGTTTCTGCAACCCTGTGCCCAGGGGCTGAGTTGCTGGTGCATCACTAGGCACTAGGCTGGCGCATCACTGGTGAGGGATCTTTGAGCCGTGTACCGGCAGATGACACGGACCCTTCCACATGTTCTTCCAGCAGCAAGGTCACAGCCTATAGAGGATAGTGCCTTGTGGCCACTCTCAGCCTGGCAGAAGTTCCAGGATCTGATTCTCACACTTTCCTGAGTATCAGGGTCACTTGAAGGAGCTTGTTGAAGAGACCGTGGGACCCCGACCTGAGTTTCTCAG